TTACCGACCCCCGGTACCAGGGGTCAGAGGACCAGGAGCACGCGGGGGTGCAGCCGCACCTCCTGGACGAGCCCAAGGTGGGCCTTCAGCGGGAGGTCCGGGTCCACCGCCCGGAACCCTTTGAGGTCGTCACCGGCAACGCCCAAGCGGCGTGGGCCAGGGCCTGCTCGGTGCGGCCGGTCCAAATCTCCATTGGACAGCCTCTCCGGTGCAGAGGAGGGGCCGGCCCCAGGGAGAGCAAAGTCCCTGAAGCCGAGGAGGAAGGAGGGGCCACCGGAGGGGACAGCGACAGCGGGGAGGAGGAGGTGTCGGAGGGGTCAGACAAGGCGGAGGAGCCCTGCAAGGAGCCTACGGCAGAAGAGGCGGCCGTAACCGTCATCCCCAACAAATACCGCTACTACCCTCCTGCTCAGCTCCTCAGCGCCGGGAAGGTCTACCTCGACCACCACATCGCGCTGATGGAGAGGAACTTCCAGACCTCCCCCGACGACGCAGCATTGGGGGAGCACCGGGGCCCGGGGTGGCTCAGAACGCCGCGGTGGTCCCAGCTCAAGGCGGATGAGCTCGAGGCGTACGTGCTGTGACACGGCCGGTGGATCGCAACCTACGAGCGGCACATCGAGCGCAGGGAGCTCACGCAGCGCGCGGTGCACCAAATGGACCGGTACGTGCTGGCCAGACTTGAGGAGGCCCAACGCGGGCTCTGGGAGTACTTCCGGTCCTGCAACGACCAAGCCCTCGCGAGCCCGGACCTGCGGATGATGGTCAACATCCACGAGTGGATAATGGAGGCTCCGGTCCAGAGGCCGCAGGATGACTTCACCGTCAACCTGGGCCCCCCGCCTGCCACTGAGCTGGGCCGTAGGCCCGGATCCGCCGCACATGGCACCCGGTTCGGGGTGCCACTCTCCCTACTCCAAGCCCACTTCAGGCGCCGGTACGGCACCAACTGGGTGGAGGGGTTCCTGCAGGGCCGGGTAGTCAACTACCCTCCCGGGACTCCCAACGTCCAAGTCCCCTTCCGGCAGTACCCGATCCCGACGACCGGGACCCTGGTGGAGCCACCGGTGAGCCGAGAGGAGAAGCCAATCCTGGCCAAGGCGGCACTGGCGCACAAGAAACGTCCCAGAGACATCCCGGGTCTGCGGGTGCTGACGCGAGACGAGTGGGAGGATGAGCCGGACGGGGCTGACCTCATACGCGTGCGGAGCCTCATCGACAGGAGGTCACCTACTCCCCCGCCCGGAACAGGCGTTGTGGAAACGGAGGAAAGCGAAGGGCCAGGAGAGGTGGACGAGCGCGGCGTCAAGAGGCCCGCGACGGCCGTGGAAGGAGTGCCCACGGACCGTGTCAGCAAAGTCGCCAAAGGGAGCGAGGAAGCTGCGGGGGCCACCGGAGGAGGGGCCGCTAAGGACGCCGGAGCGCGTCGCGAGAAGGAGCGGGCCAAGAAGAGCACCGCAGAGGGTGCGTCGGTTGCCGCGGCGCAGACTGCTGTAATCGGGGAACGGGAGCTTCCCACCCGCCTTGAAGCAACTACGACTTCGACACCGCCACCGGTGGGCGCGGCAGCTTCGACCGGGGTAACATCGGCGGGGGTGGAAACATGCACCACCCCGGTGCTGCCGCCAGTGACACTGGCGGCAACAGGCCCATCGGCCGCAGAGGCGGCAGCCAACGCCGCCCGGGCGGAGGAGGTGGCGGCGATGAGGGAGCTCATGGTGGACGAAGTGGAGGGGGAGGTCAACGACCTGGAGAAAGCACTGGACACCTACGTCCAGATGACCACGGGGGAGAGGGAGGACGTCCTCGGGATCCGGCTGTACATGCAGATCCTCCACCTGGCGCAGTGGCGCGAAGTGGAGATTGTGCGTGCTGGGGTTGAAAAGGACCCCATCCCCCGACGCCTGCGGGCGGGTCGACCCCCACTGTCCCCTGCCGTCCTGCAGAACATGGAAAACTACGCCGCCCTGACCCCTATCCAGCGGATGATCCCAATGGGGTCTAACCTTTTCGGGGCCATCGTCCAGGGCCGGGCAGCAGAAGTCTATGCCTTCAGATCCAGGAGGCCTGCACAGCCACTCCCCTCAGCCACGGGCCAGAAGCGGAGGGCGGAAACCTCTCCGGAGGAGGGCGTGCGGGCAAAGAAGGTAGCCGAAACCGGAGCTGAGAAGAAGGGGGGGAAGCCCCCGGTGCCCGGGACTGTAACCTCGTCTTCCCTTACCGGGGCCGCCGAAGCCAAAAAGGGTCCAGCAGCAGCCACCGGACCGGAGGCAGCAGCTGGAGGGGGGGAGAGGTTGGGGCAGGTGAACACCCCAGCCCCCGGTGCCGGGGAGGAGGTGGGAGGAGAAGCAATCCCGGAACCCCAGTCCCCAAACTTCGGGAGAAGGAGAGCTGAGGGGCTCGAGGATTGCGCGGAGGACGTGCTGGCCCTCAAGCTTAGGGGAGAAGACCCCACAGCCAAAGCCGCGATGGACGAGGCCGGGTACCCGCCCTTTGAGATGAGCGAAGAGGAGCAGCTCCGGTTGGTCTCAACGTTGGCGGCATCGGGTACCCCGAGGCAGCGGGAGGTGTCGAGGACCCGCAAGGGCCTCAAGAGAATGGCTGCCAATAAGGTGTTCCAGTTCCGCATGGAGAAGTATCGGAAGAGGCCCCCAAAAGACCGTCCTGTGTGGTACATTGATGCTGACGACATCCTTGAGGCGCCGCGCCTGCGCGTCATGCTGGACGAGATCGGGGCCCCGCAGTTGCCTGGAGCCCGGGTCGAAATT